CCCCCATTCTGTCTCAAATACGTCACGGCATCCATTTAAGATAGATGGGTATTTATCCATCACGGCATCCATTTAAGATAGATGGGTATTTATCCATCACGGCATCCATTTAAGATAGATGGGTATTTATCCATAAAAAGCAAGGCAAATAAACAAGCTCTGGGATGATACCAATATTGCTATATTATGCCCCCCCCCAAAAAAAAAAAAGTGACGAGCGCATGATTCCACCGCGTCGTGTTCACATTCAGAGGATCACATTTCGAAAAAGATTTAATGAGGGAGTTATCGACTACTTTGATCTGTAGCACACGACACTGACGTCATTGTTGGAATAAATTACCTGAGCTTAATATATGGAGCCTTCAGGAAATGTTACGTAAATTGAAATGACGCAAAAAAAAGTAATTGCGAAATGTAATTAATTATGTTGTTACGAATTGAGCACATTGATTGTAGCTGGGATTATGATGATGTTGTTGTTGTTGTCGTCGTTGTCGTCGTCGTTGTCGTCGTCGTAATCGTTGTTGTTTTTGTTGTTGATGATGATGAGGATGATGATGATGATGACGATGGTAATGATGATGATGATGATGACGAGGAGGATGATGATGATGATGACGAAGAGGAGGAGGAGAAGAAGAAGGAGGAGGATTATCCTGAACCATAAAAGCGTGAGTAATAGATACAGAGTAAACAAAACAAAAACAAAAACAAAATAGAAGCAATAATATAGCAAAAACAAAAACAAAATAAAATGAAATAAAACAAACAAACACACCCCCTAAAGAAAGAAAACCAAACAAACATAATAATTATAATCATTAGTTAGTTTTAGTTTAGTACGGGGTTTTACGGCGCTTGCAACAACTGCCTAACATACGGTCACACGAGCGCCCCAATTAATCATTATTATAAAATGTTCCCCTCTGTCTCTCAGATTCCCCGCCCGCCCGCCCGCCCACGTCTCGGCAGAACATCAGATCTCTCTCTCCACACGCGTCAGCCACACAGCGCTCGTCACCGCTCACTCGCCACCACTCCGAGGAACCTGACTCAGGCGAGAGTCGAGAAGGCGTGAGTCGAGAAGAAGACATCTGCTGTTGCCATGGCAACGGAATGCCAGGAAATGACGCCATCGGGATACAACCGAGACAATAAACGACCGGTGACGTCATCGGCCACTGCAACAACATCCGACAAGATTCAGGAAAGTGGTACAAGTGGTGGTGGTGGTGGTGGTCGTGGTGGTGAGGAGGAGGAGGAGGAGGCGTTGGCCACCGAAGGAATTCTGATCCAAACGATTTCAAACGATTCGGGGAATTCGACTCATCAAACTAAACAGATTAACGTTCCGCCAAACATGAACACTGCAAATACTGACGTCAGACAAAAAGACAGCACGTCGTCTGCACGCGAAATAATCGGGAACCCCCCGAAAGAACAGCAAAAAGTCATGCTGGACAAGCGAAGAGCCACCTCTGACGGGCTCCCAGGACTCACAAAGTCCTGGGACACCCGCGAAATTGACGCCATTTTGGCGCGAAAGATGAGCAGTACCGACCTGAATAGCGCGCGGCCAAAGAAGAAGATTTCTGCCATCGGAACCGTGGTGGAAGAGCCGGCATCATGGCGGACGATAGGCGAATCGGAGGCGCTGAGAAGAACAAAATGTCGACGTGTCTATGCCAAGCTAGGACAGCACAAGGACTTAGCCTTGTTTTATCGGGCCGGCAAGTTCTTTGCCATGACTGCTTGGTGCTCTCATATGGGTGAGTAAATGAGTGAGTGAGTGAGTGAGTGAGTGAGTGAGTGAGTGAGTGAGTGAGTGAGTGAGTGAGTGAGTGAGTGAGTGAGTGAGTGAGTGAGTGAGTGAATGA